GGTGCTTTGCTTCCTTGAGGAAGCATGCTGACTGGTGTAATGTGGTTAGTATTTTGATTATATTCTGAATCTCTTGCTGACTGTGGCTATTGCTTTGTTCCACCCCCATTTGCTGTGTATTGTAAAAATCAAGAATGATAGATAGGTGGTTTTTCTGTGACAGATAAACAGTTCTTATTTTCTTCAGTTTAAAGAATTAAATTCTGTGTGCATTGATGACTTAACATTATATTAGACAGGAAAGGAACATGGGCTGAGAGTGGCATTGGTTTAGCTCTGTTTAAACGTCTAGCTAAATTGGAGCAAATTGTTAACATCAGAAGATTTGTTTTAGTTCTTCAAATTCTTGGTTCTAGTTTAAACTGCAATGGGGTATGCATTGGTTTTAAAACAGTGTCCAAGTCTGCTTCTTTTTCAAAAGAAGTTATAAATAGTTTAGAAGAAGCCTTCATCATGAGAAATTCTAAAGCTATGGGCACTGGGGGTGAGGGTGGTTTGCAACTCTGAAAGTGACGGGCGAGGAAGAATTTGAACCTTTTCAGTGATTTCCTACTTTGAATATGCTTGCTGAGTAGTTTATGTAAACCCATTTTACATTGCAATCCAACAGTCTTAAACGTATGTGCAGAGTCTTATTTCCTCTAAGGTAATGATAATTGACAGCTGAAAAGCAGTAACTTCTTGGTGGTTTTTAATCTCATGACAAGCATTCATTTGAACACAGTCCTTCAGGTGCTCAGAGGGAAGAATACTTTATCATTAAGTGTCATGAAGAAATCAAATAAAGTACATCTCTATAGGCAAATGTAGTCAGTATAAACAGTGTGTCCTGCTTCAAATCATGTCTTAGAAATGTTAGAGAGATTGAAAAATACTATCTGTAGAAGAAGGAAACAAAAGATTACATTACTTGCATAGTTTTCAGGGACAGAGACAGAAAAATGTTCTCCTGGACCAGAATGCGTGTCAGTGCCACCATAGGTGACTATGTCATGCCATGTTAAGGTGGAACAAGATAATATATTGAAATCAGTTTGACTTTTTTTTTAATTCTACTCCTCCACTGCCCTGCTGTGAGCAAGACATATTTGTCATTTACTGCTAAACTTATTACTTACAGTGTACAGACCAGAGTATAGTCAAAGGTGAACAATGTGGATTTTGAAATTCTTGGAGTTTATGCTTCTACCTAAGTAGAGATGGGTACTTAGATCTTTTCAAAGAGGGGCCTATTACTACATTTGCAGACCTCACAGGTTTTAGAGGGATGGTGAAGCTGCTGTATACTTTTTTTATCTATATCTACTATTATAGTTAAGTATCTCTCTTTACTTAACTATATTTTAAATCCCGAGAGTGTTATAGAACATAATTACCACTGTGGTGTTAAGATAGAGGTAAAGTAGTTAGAACTATACTTAGATGTTCACTTTGAAAGTAAAGCTTTCCTTATTTTAAAATCAATTGTCTTCCTGTGACATATCATGGTGGAAGAATTTGTAAAGAATTGTAAATGTGGAGGAGCTAGAGCCTTGCAAATGAACTTGGGAAGTGTGATTTCATGAGACATGCCAAAGAAGCTTTTGGGAAAGGAAGACGAGACATCTGCTTGGTAGTGTGTAAGAAATGTTGTGAAATAATTGTAAATAAAAAGCTGTTTGCTTGGATTCCTCTTATTTTTAGTGATATGTGGATTCAATGGCAAAAAATAAAAAGGTGTGCTTTGAAGATGCAACCTTCCTACTTTTGTACTGCTTCTATCCTGAGATTTTACAGTATTTTGAAGTATATCAGAACAGAATAAAATGGATACTTTCTAGAGGTGAAAAACTAGAGCTTTTAGCTGTTCTAACACGTGGCTGCTGAGGCTTTCTGGAATCTTACTGCACTTCTCTGTTAAACTCTTGGGAGGTGCTGGAAATACAGTAGCAGATAGTTCTATAGATACACGTAACTGCTTCAGTGAGTGGCAAAGTTGCAAGATACTGGAACCTTGAATTTGGTTTAATAGAGATGGTAAAAGGAAAGATGTGATCAAAATTCATACTTTTGTATGGACTTTTGCTGAGACACGAGGTGTGATTAAACATGAGGTAGGTATCTGACAAAACTGCTGTTAGTCATAAAAGAAAAAAAAAGATCTTGAAGATGCGTAAAAAGATTCAGCAGAATCTGGAAAAACCCAGGATTCACATTAAGCAGATACACAGCTCTTGGAAGTTATTTATTTGAGAGAATGCTTCTGGCTGGCTGGGCTAACAAGTTGGGAAGGAAGATAGGTTGTGTTCTATCCAGAGTTAAAAGTGAGAGAGAATTGGTGAACTGGAGATTTGATCTAATTATTTTATAATTTAAGCAGTAGTCCTTCAGTTCTGCCAAATACAACATAAGTGAAAAGAGAGGCTACTAGACAGTGTACTATACGGAAAGGGAATTTGGAGACATGATCAGCAGTTAAAGGAGAATTGGGAATACATGCTTGTCATTTCACCTATTGCTTCTGAATGCTTCTGCTGAGATTTTAATGAAAGTATCTAAGGCAAGAGAGATGATAAAATGCCAAGAAGCAGAAGAAACAGTAGCAATTGAGAAGCCAATGGTAATGCTGAGTTGATGTAACTGACTGTCCCTGTCCTGATGTTTGTCACTGTTACCAATGGCTTGAATGTAGAGAGAGGAGATGATAACCTATGTATGCAAAGAAAACTAAATTTCAGGTGTCTGGTCCTGTAATGAAGTAGAAAATCTTGAGTTGGTAGGTGTCTTCATTCTAGGTAACGTTTGGGGAGTGATGGCTTAGGTTTCACACAAGCCAGAATTCAGTAGTGTGATAAGCTCACTTGAGGACTACTATCTATGTGTGTTCGCAATGCTTGGCTCTACAGTGTCATGAATGTGACATACGAATATTTGCAAGGGAAAGATTAAAATAAGTGTTCTTCCTCTTCTGTGAAAACTAGGATATCTAATGTTAGTGATTATATTCTACATGAAAGATACAATTTAAAATGAAATTTTCAGTGCAACTACTCTATAGCTGCCAAATACAAATAAAAATGACCGTGTTGCTACTTATGCTTCAGTACTTCGGCAGACTGCCTAGCTTGTTTCAGTGTAGTGTACATTAATGGAAAATCTGAAGAGAATGAAAAGGAAACAACGTCTGCCAAAAGATAATAATATTTGTTCAAAGCGATGTGCTAAAGAATTTCTTTATATACTGAAGCCAGTATAAATACTTCTTGTAGTTCTGAGGATTTTGTGCCTGTTGCCAAAATTGTCAGTGTAGCAGCAGCTGTGAATTTCTTCCTTGAGCTATGATTATATGATGACGAAATTTGTGTTCTCCATTCTAAACAGGTGTTAACCACCAAATCATTATATATTATACACAATTGAGTATGTCAGTTTCCAGTGGAGAAAGAACTTATTGAATATGCAGAGTAAGTTTGTTAGAATTAATTCAGACTAACTTGGTTGAAAATTAGGTCTGCTGCGTTTCAGAGATTTCATCGTTTCTGATGCTCTCCTCCTCCTCCCTAGCTTTTCAGGTGGTGAAATCTCAGCTATAAATCATTTGCCAGAGAAGAAATTGATTATGAAACAGAGGTTATATTAATCTCTTGTCTGCTGCTAGAGTTTCAAGTGACTTCTCCTTTCTGTGGCTTCCTGTGGTCAGATGAAAACATAAAATTTCTGGTTTTAGTTTCATTTTAATTCTGAAGATTTTGAAAGCAGTTGTGACAAAGTAAAAGGCTGGAATTATTGAAGTCTGTTTCTGCTTTACAGCCGACACTGTCATAAGTCTTAAAGCTTTGGGAACAATGCCTGTTTAAATGTTATTTTTCAGTTCGGAACTTGATTAATACATTCATTTCAAGTAATTCTTTAGTGATACTGGAATAAACTCACTGCGAAAATCTTATACTAGTTGGGGTTCTGTAAGTTACGAAATGTGGGGGGTTTTATTCTTATAGCAGCAATTCAAATACCAGTTTACAGTTCTAGAAATGAAATGGAAGCTCTTGTTAAATACATTTTTTGGTTAATAAGAGAAAGCTTTGTGTCCATTCTCAGATTGTTACAGTTTAGTGAAACTACCCTGGATTTGAATCACATTATCCATTTTTAACTACCTTGTTTATAACTGCTCAACTACATCTTGCAAGTAAATGCCTCAAGGTGTGGGCACTACAGGTTTAAATCGTAGAAACAGTACTTATAAGCCCACTTGTGATGTTCCCTGATGCTGTCAAGGAGTTTTTCATTACTTTGCAATGAAGTAGTAGGAATTTTGGGCATGTATAGAGGTTGCCCAGGTCTCTGGTACCGTACTTGTCTTCATTTTTTCATTACCTCACTGGGGGTAGTTAGTAGAATAATATTTATTGCTTTCTTGTCACACCATGTGCTCAGTAACTGCACGCTTGAATTGTCAGATTTCTTACTGCTGAAAGATGCAGCAGTTCATTTCCAAATGCTATAGTTAATCTCATAACCAGTAAATAGTACTGTATAGATAGATATGTTTTTGTAGTTTTTATGTTAGGTACGGAATTCTAATTTTTTTGCTTTGTAGATGCTTTATTATACAAAATATGTATGGGAATTGTATTTATAGACCTTTTAAATGATGTGAACAGTCTTGTAAGTGTTCTAAGGAGCTGCACATAATTTTTACTTCAGTAGCTGAATTCCATAAACAGGATGAGTAGGCAGCAAATTTACAGACATGAAGAAAACATTTAAGATGGATGCTGCAATTTAAAAAAAAAAACCACAACAAAACAAACCCAAACAAACGTAAAAACCTAAACAAAACTAGACTAGGTTTTCTTTTCAAGTTACCATAATGCTCATGAAGAGAGGAAGAAAATGGCATTAAGATTTGGGAAAGATTAGAAAGAGAAGACTGTCATGCTAGATTATAATCTGTTACTGTATTTAATACCTAATAATACGTTTTTCCCCCCACAGAAATTAGCAGAGTACGGAAAGACATGTATAACGACACATTAAATGGTAGTACGGAGAAGAGAAGTGCAGAATTACCAGATGCTGTGGGACCTATTGTACAGTTACAAGAGAAACTATATGTGCCTGTAAAAGAATATCCAGATGTAAGTATATCTTTTTAGTCCCTAAATTATTTTTTGATCCTTGTGGTCATCTTTAAGTGTAAATTTCATGTGATGCTGCCCTTGGATCATACTGAACTGCTTTTGACAAAGATACTTCTTAGGGAAGTAGTATATGTTCCACTTGGTGGCTTGATTTGTAGTGAGTGTGAGTGGAAGAAGGTTGTGTTAAATACCAAACTAGTATGGATTATAAAGCTGTAGATCTAAGATCTGAATCATTTTGTTCATTCAGTCCTGTCAGTCCTGGGACACTGTGTTTTATGAGGGAAGTAGTTCTTGGGACAGTGTTTTTTCGTCTTAGTGTATCTCCAAAAGTCAGTTGGAGAACCCTTAGAGACCCTTTAGAGACCTTTTAGAGACTATACTTAATCTCAGTTACTGTTTGTCCCATATGTGTGTAACTAGTTCTGTTGCATATAGAAATGTCTTTATCTTGGGATTGATTTTTTTCTTTTTTTTTTTTTTTTCCCCCCCCATGTTCCCCCTTAAGCAGAGGTCCTTGCATGCCAATGTTACGTTCTCCATTGGGTGTTCTGTTCTATTGTACACCTACCTTTTTGAGGGAGAATGGTTTAATTTACCTAGAAGTATTTAGAACTCCTGTAGTCTGAATGGTATCTTAAAACAACTCAGGGAAAAATAGTCCTGTCAAAATCTACCCCAGTCATTTTTGTTGGTCACTGACAAAATAAGAAATTGTGTTGTTCCTCCCTAATAGAATTTAGAGGTCCAGTTGCAGTGGAGGAATGCGGGGTCCAAGTGAGGCATTTGCACATTGAAGTGGTATGAAGTGGAAGAGAGTATGGAACATCAAAAAACTGAGACTAACACTTGTGTATTTCTGTGACTTTTCTTTGTATCATTAGTTAGATTAAGGTCTGCAAATTGAGCTTTATTATTTTAATGCTGCTTAGAAAGCACAGGCCTCAAGATAAAATCTCATTGTGCCAGACTCCATTAAGAAAATTAAGTGCAAGTCGTTATTCAGACCAGAATATTTATGCAATTTGCTCTTCTACCTTTTCCGTTTTCACAGTTGTTTTGTTGCTTTTGGGTTAAAATACCTGTGTTGGGAAAAGCGTTCAAAGAATTTGCGTTGGCAGTAAGCACATCTCTCTCCCCTTCACTTCTGTTTTTCTCCCAAATTAAATATATGCATGTGCATGTCTATATACACATATGTACACATAGGTACATGCATACATGTCCCCACACTGCAAACAGTTAATCTTTTGAAAATCCTTGGAGTTACGGATTATTTAGTGGAACTGTGCTATGCAACTGTTCTGTAAAGCAATGTAAGTAGTTCTGTACTTTAATATCTGTATATATCTTAGATTTATATTGCTTATTGGCTTTTTAAAACATAGCTTAGTTAGTGAAATCTTGGTTTTATCACTCCGACAATGTATCCTTTGCAAAGTGTTTCTTTAATTATTGTTTGTAGTTTTTACAGAACTTGATGCCTGCTGTACCACAATCCATGAGATAGGAGGAAGAAAAAGGGGTTGGATTTCCTATAATTATTATTAAGGTTTTCTTCTAGAAATCAAGGGTGTAGTAGCTTAGCTTCTTCAGTGCCAGTTAATTATCAAATATAATGTAAATAAGGAGGAATGAGTTTGTCTCTAGTTACTGTCAAAGCACTTGTGTAACTTTGGGTGTACAATTTCTCTAGCTACTGCTAGCCCTTTGTGTGCCTCCAGAGGAATGGTCTTGTAGTGGTCACTAGTTTATTTTAACAAACGCTTACAGATTCAGAAGTTGGAGATTCTTGTGATTTGTATCCATGTGACCTGGAATAACAAGGTAGTTGGTTCTTCTGAGATGTGTGATATTTGCTAGAAAATCTTCAGCTTCTATCACTCTGGTGGTACGTGACAGTTCAAACTTAATTGGGGACCAAAGCACAACATTCTCTATGTCCTCCTGCCTGTCTGTGTGTTGTCTGTATTTGTTCTTAGCTTCTCAGAACGGGGTCTGCACAGCCTCAATAATTAGTTGAGCAACTAGAATATACCATTACATATTTCTGCAAGTTAGAAATTAAATAACCTGCTTTGCATTGAGGCTAATACAGCATTTAGAATGTCTGGAGTACAGTGATTCCAACTTACCATGAAAAAAACCTGTAAAATTCACTTGTAAAGATTAATTTCACCTGTAAAGCTAATTTCAGTGTAATCACACAGTGTTCCATGAAACTTCTTACTCCTATCTAGCAATTGATTTAATTGTTATCAGATACAGGGAAGACATGCTGTGCGGACTGTCAGAGTGAGCTTGTCAGATAAGTCAGTCAGTCAGTTCTTTCTATTGCCATCATTCTCTTCCAACTGACAAACTTGTATACCTTACAAAGACATGAAGATGGATAAACTTAAAAATTATTCAGAGAAGAGTGACCAGAAACTGTTTTCTGATGTAGATAACAGCAAAAAAATTGAAAAACCTTTATGATGTTCTAATAAACTTCTATTCTGGTAAATATTTTTGACGTATAATTTTAAGCATATAGATTAGTTGGCTGTAGTGAATAGTGAATAGCATTGTAGTGCCATTTTGTGCACAGAATCCAAAATAAATTGTGGGGCATAAACAATAATGGTCTGCCATAAGTTTAAACAAACTTATAGTTTATATCTGTGTATATAAACATACATACATGTATAAAAGATGAAACAGTAAATTTTCATAACCTACATCATTTTGATATTACTGTTTGACTGTAATTTGAGTACCTACACAGAAGAAAGAATATGTAAAATTGAATTACAAAGCTAAAATAAATACATAAAATCCCCTATAGTCTCTTAATAATTCAGGTTTTTGTAGGAGTGCATACTGAGTATTTTAATTCTGATTTTAATTCTAAGACCATAGCTGATGCAAGGTTCAACTTTCAAAAAAATTCATTGTCAGAAATGGTCTATAGATTGTGTAGAATCTGCATTTCTACTTCTGTACTAGTAAGTAGAAGATGTGTAAAACATCTTCCTAAAGGATAACTAATTTTCTCTGGTATGTTGTATTAGTAAGGAGCATTTTTCCATGATGTAATCACAATGTGATAAATTGCATAACTGTTGGGGTGGTCTGCTTTCTGGCTCATTGTTTTTCCATTGCAAGCTACAGTAGTGCAGTTGTGTATGTTTGTATATATTATTTTCTTGGAATGTGTTAGATTTTTATAGGCATTTTAGTCTTAAAACTGAAATTTTAACTACTTAGCTTTTCTGAAGCATTTATGTGCTCCTGAAACTTGAGAAATTGTGCAGAAAGCACGCAGAAGATTAAATTCCATTAGTTGTCCGTAATTTGCCCTTCGGTTAAAAATGTGTTTTCTATACAGTTAAATCTTTGTGTTCTCATTTAAGACTCGGTATGACGGTTTAAAGGCATTTCCAATTCATGGAGAAATATCTTCCATCAGAGTTTAAAAAAAAAAAAAAAAAGAAAGAAAGAAAAGATGTCAATAAAATTACTGAGCTAGTAGGAAGCAGAAGAATAGAGAATATGCTATTGTTTGTGGGTGAATAGTTAATTGTCTTTAGCATTTCTTATGCTTCAGATAAATGATTAATTTTCTTGAGTTTCCCTAAAGAGCTGAGACTAAACTTTGTCTGATATCAATTTAAACAGTTTTTGGAATTAGTACCTACAAATGTTGGACTGAATAAATGTTTTTCTATTATAATCATGGCTTTATTATTAATAAGTACCCTGTTAGCTCTGATTAATGTGAAATTCTCTGTTGGAGCTCTTCTGTGCCTCTTCAGTGAAAATGTAAGAACTCGGTAATTATCGCATCTAAAGTAGCATGTCCTTTGAGTATACTGAAGCTCAAAGGCCAGCAGTGATAAACAGCTTGTGCGTACTTTCTGACCATTTTAGTTAAAACTGTTTAATTAGTACAACAGAACGATGAACACAGGGATTCATTTTACTATGGGGAACTTACTGACAAAACGTTTAAATCCTTTTTCAATTTGGTAATATCAGAGTTTAATAGCATCCCTAATATGGATTAGGAAAATGATAACATCATCTTTATTTATTGTTCTGATTCTTTTACTTAAGCTCTTCATTCCCTAGTGGTAAACAGGGAAGGCGGCTAAAAGAGCTGGCCTTGTTTACCCTTGCAATAGGAAGGAAAGAGAGAATGTAACGGGTATCTGTGAATAAATTTGGACTACAGAGTACCAAGAGGGCTGAAAGAAGACTCAGCAAAAGGTTAACTGCTGATACAAGTTAAAATGTATATGAAAGAACTAAAATAGTTTGATTAATGATTTCCAGTCTGAATGAGATATTTGGAAAAACATTCTAGTAGAAGTAGTGGGAGCAAAAAGTTAACTTTTTTTTTTTTGGGTAGTACCTTGCTGAAAGATGACATATACTGTCATAATTTCATTCAGAAAAAAGCTTTCCAAATCTCCAGAGCGTGTTTGTCCTCGGAGGCAAAAGGATGGAAGACAGTCTAGAATATATTTGAGATAAAAACCCTGTCCTTTAGTTTCTGATTGTAGTCTTGCAGGCTCAGCAGTACTGGTGAGCTTGGTCCATATCTCATCCTTGGGAGAGTTACTTCTTCCCCATTTAACTCTTTGAGCATTGAGTACAATTAAGTTAGGTGATTATCTAGTTATTTATCTGCTGATATTTTTATTCCCATTTCATTCTTACTTTCAAATTTTGCTCTAACTATTTGCAGATACTTTGTGTGTGTAAATAAAAAAAAGGAAGGTAAGGTGAAGGTAAGACAAGTAAAGACTAAGTAAATAGCATTTGCTTTGGCTAGGGACAATGTTTCTCTGAATATTTTCGAAAGTGAATTCAGAAATCTGGGAGCAGAAATGAGTTGCATCTGGCTCTGATACGCAAATTGAACATATTTGTCACAACAGCAGTTTGTTATGGTGATGTTTGTATTAGTAACTTCTTCAAATTAACATCATAGGATTAAAATTTTAGTGATG